TAAAATGTGACATACAAGTGAGACTGGGTAAAATAAAGAATTTATATGCTAGAAATCTTCCTTTCAAAAAGTCAGTAGTAAGCTCGGTATATGAATTTAAATATCTTTGGAAGTTATAATTTGAGAGTCTTCAAAAATTTTGATAAAATATCTGTTCTTTCTCATTTTCATTCGACAACCTATTCAATTAAGCATGACCCAAATGCCTTTCCTTGTTGACATGTGAACCCCTAGGTCCTCCACATAGGATATGTTCTATAGCAAGTTGCTTTGCTGATTTGATTTTTTCATAGAAATTTCTTACTGGTATAAAACCAGGAGGAAGTGAGATCTCTCCTATTTAAAAAGCATTCTGAGAAAAGGAATTATCAATGAGCTCTAAGAAATTCTAAATAACCTTTGAAAATGAAGTGAGGCTTATCATACACATTTGTTACCACCAACTTAAAATAATGAAAATTCTCTCAAGAGAAAAAGTAAATTCATTGCTTACATATTAAACTGTTAAGGCTGCTAATCAAAGAATCATTAAAGATAACAAGTAGAGCACTGTGGCCTAAACTCTGAGTTCTAATCATAAAGGTAAGTTACATTTTTCTGATAGTAGTGTTCTGGAAAAAACAGAACATCAGCTTGTCACATATGACAATATTTCACATGTTAGTATGTAGGCTCACAGGTGTACACACATTCTCTCCCCCTCAGACCCCTTCTTCCAAAATTATATGAGCTGAAAAGAGAAATATCCAAGGAAAGCATCTCTTGGAAAAGGAAACATTAAGTTGATATAACCTACAGTGTCCATGCATACATTATATTATCTCTGCAGTGTTCTATAAGACTTCAAGACCAATATTCCATTTGATAATTTTGCATAACATATTACTATTAGTATAGTGTGTTTATTATATAATTGGTATGAATGACATCCCACAACAACCACATTCCAAAAAGCACTGGGATCTTCACACGTTATAATGTCTAAATACCATTATTCTCTTTCATATAGTTCTAATATCATAACTGCTCTGTCTCAAGAAAATTTGAAACTACTTTACAAAATATATTTATAAAAGTATGAGAAAATTTCACAAGATTCATATATTTTGAAAATTAGCCTTCTGAAATACATAAAGCCTCCTCTGTGGCACAGAAGCATATTTTTCAAGATTAGAAGTTTGTAATCTTGATGAAAAGATGGGTTCTCAAGACTTACTGGATTTAGTGTCTGGCTTGGTACACATTCAATTTGAAGATCAAAACACTCAAGATAGTACTGTGACATTTCTCAGAGTAATATTCTCTCAGTCTTTCCGTTTATCTAATATGTAAATGTTTCATTCTATGGGTGGTGTGGACCAAAGATATTAAAATGTCAACATCACTTAGGTGAGTCCTGGAAACCAAAATCTACTTCTTGCACCTAAATAACTGCAAGGCATTAAAGAAAACAGTATCTGGACTTTAATTTATTTATGAATGGGTTGGGCCAAATAATCTCTTTGGGCTTGTAAATTTTCTAATTTTATGAATGAACTTTGACTTGGAATACAAATTAATACTGGAAATAAAGACTATCATTTCTTATGACATTAATCATGTAAATATTAATGTCAAAAACTCCATGGAACGTAAAATGATTGTGACACAGAAATTCTCAAGTTTCATAGAACTAAAACTAATAAAATGATCTTCATATTTGCAAAGAAGATTTAAATAGTTTATATGAAAACAGTAGCATATCTGCAAGAAAAGAGAAAGGCATAGTCTTACATATTCAACATCTAACTAAAATTTACTTCAGGGCAAATCCAAACTGATATTCACCTATCACAATAGTATTAGGTGAAATTCAGCCAATTTTATATAAAATGTATATAATAGTAATCTGAACAGAGAATGTCACTAAATTTTTCAGTTGTTGCAAGTGAAATAATAAAGTAAAATTGTTACAGTCACTTCATGTAAATCAATCACTATGTGATTAATAAATAGGCTCGATACTAGTTTCAAATTACTAAGAAGCTATAATGAAGATATAATAGAAAACTAACATTAAGTACAAAGAGTAAAATGCAAAGAATAGCTCTGGTTTTTGACTAGGTAAACATGAATTCAGTTATTCAGTCAATCAGCCATTCAATAACACTTACTATACAACTGGGTCACAGACACTGCACTCAGTACGAGGGCACAAGGCTGCAGAATATTCGGAGAGAATATTCACAATTCACATATCTGATTAACAATTTCCATCCAGAATGTATAAAACAACTTAAAATGAAAACATAAATAAAATTTTTAAATGATAATAATAAAAAACAAATTTAAAAGTTGAGTAAAAGACTTGAACACATTTCGGAGTAGATATTCGGGAGATAAACACATGAAAGTAAGTTCAACATAATCAGAGCTAGGGCAATGCAAATTGAAACCACAATGATAGGCAACTATCTATTTCAGAATGGCTAAAATTGAGAAGCATGATAATAAACTAGTTTGGATGTGGAGGAACTGGGACTCTCATACACTGCTGATGGGAATGAAATAGGGGAAACTTTAGACGACAGGTTAAGAATCTCAAAATGTTACTTATTTCTACTATATGATCCAACCATTATATTCCTGGTTCCTCATCCAGGAGAAGTAACAATGGCTGTTCACAAAAATACATGCACAGAGCTGTTCATAGCATATTTATTCATAACAGCGTAATCTAGAAATAGTCTATTAATAAATAAGCTACTGGATAAACTATCTTATCCAAACGAATGACTCATACATCATATGACATGATGAATCTTAAAATAATTCTGCCGAGTAAAACAATACAGACCCCCCCAAAAAATAGTATATGTTATACAGTTTCCTTGATATAAAATTTTAATCTGCATAAGTTAACGCATAGTATCAGAAAGCAATTTGATACTAAGAGGAAAGTCCTAGAGGGATGTATTATAAAAGTGCATGAGGAATCTTTTGAAGGAAAATTCTCTTTTTCATTATCTTGATTGTGGTGATGGTTTCAAAACTTTCACTATATATAGTTTATTATATCAATTATAACTCAGTAAATCTCATTAAAATTGGTGAGAAGGTTGTATTGACTTTTTTTCTGTCATGATTTGTGCAGCTTTTACTCAGCTGAATACTTCAAACTGATATTCACAAGTAAACAGTTCCTGAATGCTTCATCTACAATCTAGCCCAATCATATTTACTTCATTGAAATGAATAATCTTGAAAAGTTTTATTTTTTCCTTTTAAGCAAATATTTAATAAGTACCTGTGGGGCATAATGCTGGGTAACTGCACTTATACAACATCACAGTTAATTAAAGTGCTGGATGATACTGCTGCTCTTTTTCAGTAGAATAGATACTATTAATATCCACTTTCCAATGGAAGGAAATATACCGTTCCTTCAATTGGACTCCATTTTTGCTATCTTGAATAATTAATTCACACACCATGCAGAGACACTGTCATCATTGCAAGTCTGAATTTCATGTAAAATAAAAGACTAAAAGAATCCTTGGATAGAGTCAAACAGATCAATCCATGTGTAACCCTGGGTGCGTTTCAGATTTCAACTTTGATGTTTATATTCATGACCAAAGGGCTTCTTGGGGAGTCACATGTTTATCTGACTGAAAATGCTTCCCTGTAAAGTCAGTTTTCTCCTGGAAACCAATTCTTGAGGAAATATCACAAATACTAAATATCAGTTTGGTCCAAATTACAGCTGAATTAAATAGACATTAACAATTGACGTGATGCAGATGAGCCATTATTAAATAAAAGTCAAAAACCTCTTCAATTTCACTTCACATCGTTACATGTGTAACATGCATTCTGGCTGTCACACTACATATGGTGGATTGGTTCCCATCTCTATGTTTCTCTAAACAAGTCTCCAATCCCAGTAAGTTTTTACTGATTGAGTCATGTACAAGGTACATCTGTGATTGTTAGGTCTCCAAAGCTGACCTAGAACTAAATGCTTGGCTACGAAACTAAACTAGATTTAGATAGAGCCAGTGATTTAAATTTGGGTAAGTGAAAGTTGTACACATCCAAACGAACAGAAAAGTTCAACCAGAAGTAGGTAAGAAACTTTCTCCAGTATTTGAACAAAGAGAAAAAGAACAAATATTCAAGCCCCTGCATGCTGCATCCTGAGTGATATATTAGAAAGGCAATGAATGACAATAATTTAGAAACTGTGGGTTCCATTCTAATCCCTAGTTTTGCTGCTCACGAGTTATTTGACCAAGGAAAAACAACAACCTCTCTGAATTTTTTTTTCTATCTTCAAAATATGGATCTTCAAAAAAGGATCTTTGACTTACCCTCTTCAGGGAATTGCTGAAATAATCAAATAGAGTGAGAGTGTGTGTGTGTGTGCGTGCGTGCCTGTGTGTGTATCTACCCTTTGCAAAATTATAAAAGCTACGTACACATTTGAATTTGCTTTTACAAGTTTGACTTTAAGAAGACAGGTGAGCTTGAGAGTAGAACACATTGCACCAGAACTAAGGTGATCTGGACTTAAACTTGAGCTCTTCCCCAGAGAGGCGGCATCATTTTTGGATAAAGCATGCACTCAGCCTGCATCTCACCTGCTCACCTATAGAAAGTCAAAGCGTCAAATGAACTATTCAAAATCACAGATTTGTGTGCAGAATCTCAGAAACTCTGCCAATCTCATTTCTTCCCCCAGATTTTTTATTTCAGTAGAACAATCACTTAAAGGAATCTGCAGCTGTTTCCAAGGCCATGTGTTCATCTTTAGAGATTCTAATAACACATTATTGCAGGGAGTCAAGGAGCAAGACAACCCAAACAGCTTTGGTACAACCTTAATTAAATGATAAATGTGTGTCATATAACGTTGATCAAATTCCACGAGCTTTTCATCCAGGAATACAATGACCTTTCGCACTACTCAGACATTCCGAGCCATTTCAAACACACATTCAGAAATCCATTATCCATACCTGAAAGGGCTGCCCACTGGAAACGCTGAGGACTTTCCTTATCCATCTGTTGCCCTGATTCCCAAATACGTGCCACAGCAGCTTCCCTCTTGTGTTACTCCAGACTCGCTGATAGACAGCCAGCCTGTAAATGCGCTTTCCAAACATGTGGTAATAGAGGCGGAAGGTGCAGCCCTTGGAATCAGTGGCATTGAAGATGGGGCTGAGTAGCACAGCACTGTTTTGGAAAACCTGTGGCTCCGAAGATTCTATGTAGAGATAGTGTCCTTGTGCTGTCCCCACAGTATGATCCTTCATTGGCCCTGTATTAATGGTTGAAGTTGGACCCTGGTTCCTGGTCCAATCAAAGTCATCTTCTGTATCTTGCTCCCAGTTACAAATTCCATTTTCAAAGTGACACTGTAGTCCAGGTTCTGAAATCAGTATCAAATCACAGCAAACTTTATTAAAAACAAAAAATAGATATCATTAAGACCACTAATTGATGGCTTGCTCCTACCAAGTTAAGCCTTTTGTATTTAAATATGCAACATCACAGTTTCGGTTTGCTTTTTTGGCTTTGTTTGGCTTTTATGGTTCTAAGGCTTGAACCCAGAGCCTTTGTACTGAGCTACCTCCCCTCTCCTCCCACCTTTTTTAGAGACAGTGTCTCACCAAGCAGCTAAGTTATCCAGGCTGGGCTCAAACTTAAAAGACTCCTCGCTTGGGCAGGGGGATTTAGCTTGGTGGTGCTGCCACCTGCCTTGCAAGCACAAAGTCCTGAGTTTGATCCCCAGTACCAAAAAAAAAGATTCTCTTGCCTCAACCTTCCAGAGTGCTGGGATTACAGGCTTGTAACACCAGGCCTGGCTTAAAGCACAGTTTTAAAGAGTAAATAAATCCCAAGTAATTTACCAAATAAATATTTTGTGGCCTGAAGATGGAATTGCTTTGCCCATTACTTCCTAAATTTTTTTATAGGCACTTCCTACCTTTCTAATAGCTTAACTCCAGACAAATGATCATAATTTCATGGGTGGTTCACTATGACAAATTTCAGGCTCAGTGTATTTCAACCTTAATTGAATCTTCCATTCACCAGGGAACATTAAAGAACAAACTGATAAATATAAAAACCCAGAATTCACCTCCTGAGGCATTGATTTCATTGGTCCAAATCAGGATTGTTTATCAGCTCCCTAAGTGATTCTAATGGAGCAGAGAACACTCAAAATCTGATAAGGTCTCAATATTTAAGAGTCACCTGGAGTGCACGGTGAAATTACTCCATGGAAAACTCCAAAACAAATTACAGTACAGTTTATTAGATACAGATTGAAACCCAGAAAACCACATTTTTAACAAGTATCCAAGATAATTATGATGTAGGTATCCTCCAAATCTCACCCTAAAAAATCCATTTTACAGTCCTGCCCCAAGTTCTAATCAGCTTTGCACAGTAGAGCTAGAATCCAAATCCTTTCTTCTACTCTCATTTAAACTCATATGTAATCTCCTCCCCAAGTTAAGTTGACTTCTGGTTCCTCCCTATCCATCCTTCCCTTTATCATGTGCCATCTTCCCTCTGCATCCTAGAACCCTCCACTTCCTCCCTTGGCTTATCCTTAAATGTTATATTACACATCTTATCGATTTCTGGGGCCCATGGGAAGTGGTCTTTTCTTCTCAGGATTGTAGCTCCTTGAGCCAGGGCTTCTGAACTCCTAACTCTCTTCAGTCAGTAGATAATTCAGACTTAGAAAGAACTGACAAGCCCCATGGCAGTTAAATACATTATTTCTAGGGTAATATAGGAATATCTTCCTCTCCCAAAACATGAAGATTTTGTTGATGTTGCATTTTTGCTTTAGAATAAATGGGATAAAATATATACTGGGAATATTTGGGCCAAGGGGATAGGATTTAGAATTCATAGGTAGTTCCACATTTTGGCTTCATTTACATAATATTTTAAAACAGTAAATGTCAGCTGTCCTTTAACTATTCATCTTAGTAATGGCATTTGGTGCCAAAGGTGGACAGACACCCTGGAACAATAAATAAAAGCATATGTGAATAAAAGCAGCCAGGTGAGAACAAATCGTCTTTCTCTGAAAACCATAGAACAGGAGCTTAGACCTAATGAAGGGAACCGAGCAAGTAAATGTCAAATGGGAGATGCGCTTTCACTTGACATTTCCTCACTTGCAACTAATCAAGCCCAGCTGTGACATGAACTGGGGACGCACAATGTACTCTGCAGGTGTCAGTCTTTGGCTGTGGAACAGAAGGAGAATGTCAAGCTGCTGAGATTTTGACATAAACCTGGCACTAAAGCCAACAGATTTTACATCACCTGTCTTCATGCTGACTGCATGCTCCATCTTATCTCCAAGGGGAATATATGGAGCTCCATCCTTCAGTGAAAGACCACATCACTACACATACTTCAGAAAATACACCATGGGCTTCTGAGTGCCTAGTGCACACTGTGTAAGAAATGCTATCTCGCAATGGAAAGCTGGGAGAGAAACCGATATCCCAGTACCACCACTACTTCCTACTAGTGCATAATCACAAGCAGTGTTATGATATTGTACTTGCCACTCCCCTCCTTCTATTCTACTAAGTTAATACTGGGGAAGTTTGAAGGATCTTTTGCCTATTCTTAGGAGCACATAAACACTTTTTTACACGAAGGATTTAGAGAACTTGAAAAAGGTGAAACAACTTTTCAAATGTGCAAACATAAGTTAGTTTTAGGGCAAGATATATTTCTTATGACAGTTATTGTCAAAATCATCAATTTTACACAGTAAGTTGTATACATTTCATGAGATGCATAGTAATTCTGACTCTAACATGCCAGACTTTAATATGACTTTGTTATTAGTACTTACACATCACAGGGAACACCCATGCATGGCTCTCTACAATGATTTATATGGAACTTTCTTAATGTTTCCCATGTCTTGTACATGCTATGGCTCTTTCGTTTATAATGAGCTTCCTGATTTAATAAATATATAACTTGGAATTTAATAATTATTACAATTTCTGGACAAAGACCCTGAGCTCCAGTAAAGACGCAAGCTGTTTTCTTTTCTAATAGACTTTTCTGTAATTAAAAAACAATTTGCTTCTGATTCATTTTCAGAAGTGCACTAAGCACTCCTGGAGCTAGCTTCATCATACTCGGAGCTCCACACGATCAGATACCACAAATGTTTGTTAACTGAAACCAGAAAGTAGGACTAACGTTTTATACCCTACTCTCTACTTCATAGAACCCAAACATGAATGTCTCTACTTCTGTTCTCCAAGCTTTACCTGCCATGCCACCTTAATTCACTGCCAACGGCTCTCCCTTGGGGTACAGACAGTTCCCTCATGGATCTCCAGAAATCGACTCCCCTCCTCCCGTCCATATCCACAGGGACATTTTTCAACTTTCTGAGCATGTTCTATTATCTCCCTTCTTAAAACCTTTCAAATATAAAATACTTCTTTAGGAAAAACTCTGCAGCTCTGCAAATCTTGCCTCCTTTTCCCTTCCATCTCCTCACGCCAGGGACATCAGCTATCCTCCATCTACATTGTAGTCACACACCTGGGTTTTTGAGATTTGTCTTATTATTTTTCAGATCTCAGCAAAATCATCAAACTCTAGAAAGTCCAATGCCATTATTATATAGAGTCACAGTATGCCTGTTCATAGCTTTGGTCAAAGCTACTATTTTATTTTTCTTTATCAAATAATTGAATATCTATTCTTTGAATAGACTGCAACTTCCATGAAGGCAGAGATTCTGTAATTTTATTTACCACTGTATTCCTAGTATCTTGTTAGTAAATCTATCTAATACTGATGTCCCCAATGAATGAATAAACAACACAATAGTCATCAACTTTAGGACTAAGCCTTAACCTCATTGGCTTGGCTACCTAAAAAAGAATCAAAAGTCCTCACTCGCAAAATGCATGAGAGGCTAAAAAAGAAAAAGGAACCCAAAAACTTACCACAGTCAGCCTCATCTGTCCAATCTCCACAATCATCTACCAGATCACACAACTGAGCCTTTTCCACACAGGCCTTGGTGTGACCACACCAAAAATGATCTGGTGATTCGCAGCTCTCGGCAGGAGGTGGAAGAGTGCAGTTTTCAAATCTGATGTCATCAATAGCTGAGACCCCAACATACATGCCCAGACTGACTTTATTCAGCAACAGATAGAAGGGTTGAGTGAGGCGCCCTAGCTGAATGGCCACCTCTGACCATTGGTTGCCTTGGTTGTACAGCACTCTCCAGAGGACAGTGGAGTCGTTGGAGTTTTCCAGATGGAGCACCAGCTCAGCTGCTCCCACAGACAGGCCATAGTTATAAAACCTGAAAAGACCAAACACAAGCAATGGAAACCATTTATGGAACTGTGCACTTGGCCTAAAGTCTATTAATAATTAGTTGTCAAGCTGACACCTTTCTTTTTTGCAGTATTTGTGGCTGCATGTTTGGAGGAGCTTATGTGCTAAGGTGGAAGCCTTTCTCAAGGAGCTCATGCAGAACAGCGTAAACATCTTCACTCAATTATCCAGTGACTGATGGAGGGGAAGAGTCCCTTTCACCTTGACAGAAAACAACTAGTGGGGCACTGTGGTGCAGGCCTGTAATCCCAGTAGTTTTGGGGGCTGAAGCAAGAGGATTCCAAGTTCAAGCCCAGCCTAGGAAATTTAGCAACTTGGTAAAACCCTGTCTCAAAACAGAAAAAGTTTTAAAGAGCTGGAGTTGTACCTCACTGCAATGGCCCTGGGTTCAATCCCCATTATGATCACCACCAATGATAATAAAATAACAAGAATGATATGTTCCTATAATAAATGCAAATTATTACTATAATGCAGTATCTGTTTGAAAAGTAAAACCAGGTTATAACCAGAATAGCTAACAAATGAAGGAGCATGTCTGCAAACACTAGACTACTAGGGTAACTGACTTTATTGCCTTTAATATTTACCAGAAATACAGTGTACAGCCAGGTCCTGTTTGGCTGAAAGTTGGACTCTGCAGTTTAGCAATTTGAAAAAGGCTGCTGCTCTTCTTCAGAATGAACATAAAATGCCCTATCAAGATACAAAAACAAAACATTAGTAAACCTCCTGGATTCCACAATGAATCTGTCTCTTAATCTTACATTGAGTAAGTTTCATAGCCAACTAAAATTAAAACTATGTACCAATTTAAAAGAGCAATAAGAGGAGCTGTTAGTCAAATTTGTTTTCATACATACTGCACTGCTATCTACATATAGTTTTAAATGATGCCAAAAGCAATCAGTGATCTCAGTTCAACTAGCCAAAAATATATCTATTGCTTATCTGTTCCACTTGTAAAGGAATCATTTCATGCAGACAGCGAAAACATAATGTCCCACTGTTTGTAGTGACAGAATTGCTTCTCTTGCTGGACTGTAGTCTAAAGAGTAAACAGAAGTAGGTAAAGCCTCTCTGTTTCCTACCTGAAACTGTGTTGTGAGTGTGATCCCGAAGAGGGGCCTGATGCTCAAAATCAGCAGCGACATCACGTGGGGAGCTCCATATCCAGTCAAAATGGTCACCACAGACTGCTTCAAACCACGTACAGCTGTCGGCTTCAAAATCACAATCGGAAACTGAAGAAGAAAAACGGGCTCTTAGGCGCTCTCTCCACAGGGCTCCCCCACTTTGAAAAGGTAGAGCTGAAATGGAAATGACCCTAATACACTTCTCTAAAGACTTCAAAGGACACATTTGAGGAGACAAAAGAAGATATTATTTTTTATTAGAAAAAGGGACCTGTGCTTTGCATACCAGAAACTGGGAAGCCAAAATACTCAAAATAAGAAATTTAATTAATTTCACAAGTGTTTTCTAAGATATAGCATCATTCATCTATTCTACTTATAGGATTGCCAAGATTTTCTTAATGCATTCAGATAGCCATGTCAGATTCCCCTGCTATGATGAATGGAAAGTTTTGTTACCAGAGAATATTTTACACTAAGCCATAAAAACAAGCTGTTAAAAAAAATTAATATTTGAAAAATGCAAGATCCACTATATTTATATAATGTAAACTCCTGATTTTTACAGAGCTTAATGTTTCACAAATAATTGTATGCATTGCCCATTTTTGTACAGGGAAAAAAATTTTAATTCATTTTCTTCAGGCTAATATTAAGAGAAATAACATCCATAAAGAATTCTGGAAAAAACATGAGAAGAAAAGAGGGATAAGAGAGAAAGGGAAAGAAAGTGAAGTTATGAAGAGTAGTAGTATAGATTTATAGGTAAACTATAAGCAATAACTACCAAATTCCTTGTGTAATAGACACTATACGCAATGCTTTACAGAGATACAACTATCAAAACCACCTAAGAGATAGGTGGGTTTTTTTTGGTCAGGGCCATTGTTTCACAAAGGAAGAAATAGAGATTAGGAAAAGTTATTAATTTAACCATGGTTAGGAAGTTGTATTGTGGGATTGGAATTCAAATATTTTGATGCCTAGTTCAATATTCTCTGTTAGTCCTGACAATAACTGTTGTCATTAGATTGAAAAAGCATAAACCAATTTACTTGGTTTAGTGTAGATGTTCAGCTGTTACATTATAAAAATGCAAAATGAGGTTCATTTCCATTAACGATTATTACACTGGGATCCTTTGCCATTGGCTATTTTTAATCCAATAATACAGTTAAAAATGCATACATATTTCCTTGTAAAAGGAATTAGGAAGGCAGTGATATATATGTTTCAGAGATAAAGGTATAAAGTAAATCACTAAATAAAATTTTAAAACTTAGGACAGCATTTTAATCTAATGATAGTTTTCATTTTTTAAAATGCCACTACTATATGGAGAGGAATGTGAGGTAATAACAGTACAAATATTTAATTTTATTATGGCTACTGCTAATTAAGTTCCAACTTAAAAATTAGTTGAACATAGATCGAAGATACAGTTATAAAGTAAATCACTAAATAAAATTTTAAAACTTAGGACAGCATTTTAATCTAATGATAGTTTTCATTTTTTTAAATGCCACTACTATATGTAGAGGAATGTGAGGTAATAACAGTACAAATATTTAATTTTTTAAAGTTTCTATGAAATATGTAACTTCACAAATATATTTACTTTCTACCCAATTTCCTGCTCCCTAATTTGACAAGCACAGTATTTCCAAATCTTACCAAGTCATTTCAATGTGTGAATCCATCTAAAAATAAATATTTTTAAGGTGCTCAATCTACTTGAATAATAAGCAGCTGTATTTCACTACACAGATAAAATTAGAAACAAGCAAGATGAAGAAATGCTACTTAAAAACAAAAAGTAATAATGAACACTACAAATGAGAGAGAAAATAAAAAAAATGTTTAAAGTTTTGTATTTTTAAAGTCTGCTTCTATTTCTAAGTGTATGATGTACAAACAACATATAAATATACATAGATTCTGGGGATTTCAAAGTACATCAGTAACATTTCAAACCCTGGGAAGCAAATGCTTTGATTTCTATTTCAGACAATCTGGAAAACAGGATCAAGGAGTACTTGTTACACACATATAAAAACAAGCTGTTACTACTGTTTAATATCCATCCCACACAGCTACCTGGAAAGAGAATCTAATTATGTACTGGCCAGGGAGACACTGCTGCAGATATAATGAATATTCAAATGGTAGTAAGATTTTTAAAAATCACTGCAATGACTCTAGTTCTCTTGGATAAGGCCCTTCAAAACAGTTGTTTTCCCCAGTATGCTTAAGAAATGCCTCCATTCTTATGTTTATTGCAGACTTATTCCCAATAGCCAAGAAATTGAAGCCAGGCACGGAAAGACAAATACCACATGAGCTCCCTCCAATACAGAATCTAAAACAGTTGATAGCATTGAAGTTGAGAGTAAACTAGCTCTTACTAGCTGCTAGGGAGAGTAGGTCAGAGGGAGGGTGGGGAAAAGTTGATCAATGTGCAGTAATCCGCTCACATAGAAATAAAGAGGTTGTGTGCACTATTGCAGAGCAGGGTGGCTACAGATAATGATAATGTACTGTGCATTTCAAAGCGGTTAGAAGAGTTGAATTTGAATACTTTCGTCACAAATACATGATGTTTGAGGACACAGAGATGCTTACCCTTATTTGTACACTGCACAGTGCAGACGTTTATTGAAACCATAGGATGCACCCTATAAATATGTACAGCGTATGTCATTTAAAACTATTCTACGTAATTTGTAAACACAAAACTGCTGTTGAAATTTAAATATACTTTTCTAGTTCCTATATACTTAAATTACTCCATGCATTTAAAAATGTAAATTAATCATACATGTAATAATCGGTAAAATTAATCTAGCTAGCCAGTAATCGAATGGGCATGGAAAATTATGCACTGTATATTCATGTCTAAATAAGAAACACAATACTCTGGGTATGTTTTAATAATTGAAGCTCAAGGATTTTTCAGTTTCTGGAAATCAGTTTCACTGATTTCCCCAATTATCACTGTCACAAGCATCATCATTCACAGTTACCATTTACGCTGAGATCAACATGCACCAATCTACACGCTCAAGGGTCTTATACTCACAACAAAACACTGTTGACACAGGACTTCTGACAATTACGCTAATGGGTAGAAAAGCTAATGACTCTACAGCCACTTTTAATTACTGTGAAAAAAATTAATTATGCAAATATTATGTATATTAATTATGCAAATATATTAGTTGCCCCGAGAAAAAGGCATTAGGTGATATCTGCTAGGCTGAGAAAAAGGTCCATCACTGTCATCTGTACAGGCTTTCATTGAAGCCAAAGATGAAATTTTGTAGGAGCCAAGAAAATTTAGGAAGAAAAATATCCAGAATCAGATCGTATCTCATTCCCAATTCACAGTAAACTTTGCAAGGAGTAAACACCAAGTGTGCAAAAGTGAAGTCTAAGTCGATCATGTGGGCCTCACACAACGATGTGCATATTCACAGGAGGAAATAGGTCCTGACATAACATGTGGTTGAATGTCAGCCTCTCTCTGCTCTTAGCCACACAGGCAAGATACCTATGTTGAGTTTGACAGAGGGGTCTGAACTAGATGTGGGGACAAAATACTTGACAATTACAACTTAAAGCAGAAAAGGATTATTTGAGTGGTGATTTTATAGGATTTAGTCTCTGGCCAGTTAGCTCCAAGACAGAAACATCATGGCAGAAGAGCACAGTGGAGCAAAGATGCTTAGTTCATAGCCATGGCATCCAGAAAGCAGAGCAGGGAAGAGCACCAGAGAGCAAGGGACCAGGGACCAGATATGGTACCCAAAGTCATGCTTCCATGAGCCACCCAGACATATCCAGAAGTAAGCTTTCTTAACCCTCCAGGCGGCTCATGAGGCAATCAGGTTGACAACCCATTTTAGTCACAAGGGCCAAGCCTATGCATGGTAACTACCCAGAAAATACCCAGAATCCAACTGTGGCTTACAGAGAGAGTTGAGCCATCAAAGACATCAATGCAGTATGGGAAACATCTATTGATATATGTACCAATTATTTAGGAAATATCTTGGAAACTATTACAGTGCCTATTTTATATATGAGAAATATAAGTTTGAAATAGGAATAATTCATAATCTTTCAGAGCTCAGTAATACTAAAAAAATTCCAACCTAAACCTGATGTCAAAGCCTACACTCTAAAAAATTTGCTGCTATTAGATAAGTAGACAATTATAACAAATTTAATAACTACTTGATGCCAGATACTATGCTATGCATTTTAAATGGAAGATAATACAAAATCTAAATATGTCTGACCAGGAACTGGCTGTGAAAGTACATTTTAAGCTACATAATAATAATGGCTATAAGTTCGTCAGAATGACTTTCCTTGTTTCTTTTAAGATTTTGTTCTTTAGATTTCATGACCTTCCTGAAAATTGGAGGATGGACAATAATTAAATTTTCTAGAATGCTCTCTTAAGTTGACTGATGTACTGTGACTGAGCAGTTACTATAAATTTCAAATGTATTAATACTTGTTCTCCACTACTTCTCTGCTCTTACTTTACAGCTTGTTCTCTACTATTGTAATTCGAGTTTTAGGCATTCCTCTGCCTTCAAAAGGTTATATATCTGGAGTTATACTAAGGTTGAAGTAATTGAACTTTGGACTTTATTAATATTTAATATCCACTAACAATTTAAAATGTGATGTATAATACTGAGTGAGTTTGCAAAAGTATCATGAAGAAAAATACCTATATAAATGAATGGAAGTAATGAAAATATGTTAAAGAAACATAAATGAACAAACAACATTTGATATTCAAAATCACTGCATTTTAAATAAGAATTATTAAATGACATTATTTAACATATGTTTGTAAAGCTAGCCTCTGATACAGACCTACGCAGGCCCTGTTGGGAGAATTCCCCGTGGGTCTCTCCTGTTTCTACACATCATGGTGAGCAGAGCTGTTATCTGCGCCTTCTTCTCAGGCTGTTCTTTAAAGGATAGCTAAATAGCAAATAGCCATAGAAAAGAGATAGTGAATCCTCTACAAAAGGGAGCAAGTTATTAGTCTGTATAATAAAGATAACATCTCTCTCTAAAACAAAGGT